CAATAAATTGTGGTATATGTACACCATGGAATACTATGCAGCCATTAAGAAAGATGGAGATTTTACCTCCTTCATGTTTACATGGATGGAGCTAGAAAATATTCTTCTTAGCAAAGTATCCCAAGAATGGAAGAAAAAGTATCCAATATACTCCATCCTACTATGAAACTAATTTATAGCTTTTATAAGAAAGCTATAACTCAATTTTATCCCAGGAATATGAGGAGAAGGGAGAGGAAGGGGAGGAGAGGGAGGAGGATAGAGGGAGGGTGATTGGTGGGATCACGCCTATGGTTCATCCTATAAGGGTACACGTGAATCTCTCTAAGTGTAGAATATAAATGTCTTATAATAACTAAGAAAACTACATGAAGGCTATGTTAACCAGCTGGATGAAAGTATTTCAAATTGTATACAGAATCAGTACACTGTGTCCCATGATAGTATTAATGTACACTGCTATGATTTAATAAAAAGCAAAATGCAAATATTTAAGATGATGAATATCCCAATTACACTAACTTAATCCTTACTAGCTATATGGATTAAATTATCACATGTACCCTGAAAAAAAAAAAAACAAAACTCCAGAGACAACCACAAAACTCCTGAAAGTGATCAGGAAATACACTAACATCTCAGAGTACAAAATTGATGTCCACTTCAGGATTCTTTGTATATGAAAATAATACCCAAGTTCTGTTCACAGTAGCTTCAGAGAAAATAAAATACCTAGGAATATACCTAACAAAAGAGGTGAAAGGTCTTTTCAAAGAAAATTATAAAACCCTAAGGAAAGAAATTGTAGAAGACATTAACAAATGGAAGAACATGGCTGGGAAGAATCAATATTGTCGAAATGTCTATTCTACCCATAGCAATCTAAAGATTCGATGCAATCCCCATTAAAATACCAACATCATATTTTGAAGAACTGAAAAAAAAAATAGTACTTCATTTTGTATGGAACCAGAAAAAACAAAACAAAACATGCAGCTAAGGTTATTTTTAGTAATCAAAAAAGAAAAGCCATAGGCATCACCCTACCAGACATCAGGCTATATTACAAGTCCACAGTAATCAATACAGCATGATATTGGCACAAAAATAGAGACATAGACATATGGAAAAGAATAAAAAATAAACGGGAGTTGAAACCAGTCTCCACTTGCCATCTTATCTTTGATAAACCTAATAAAAACATACAGTGGGGGGGGGAAATCTCTATTCAACAAATGGTACTGGGAGAGCTGGAAAAGACTGAAACTTGGCCCACACCATTCACCATTTATAAAAATTGACTCAAGATGGATAAAAGAGTTAAATCTAAGACATGAAATAAAATATTCAAGATTTCCAATAAAAATCTTGGAAGAAAGTGTAGGGAAAAGTCTTGGCAATGTTGGACTAGGGAAAGATTTTAAGATAAAGACTACAGTGGCCAAAAACAACAAAAAATAACAATGGGAATTAATTAAACTGAAAAGCTTCTGATAGCTAAGGACACAAATAAAGCAAAAAGTTAGCCGTCATAATAGGAATACATATTTGCAAAATATGAATCTTACAAAGGGTTGATAACTAGAATTTATAGAGAACTGAAATTAAGCAACAAAAAAAGAGTAAAAAATCCCATCTACCTCTGGGCAAGAGATATGAACAGAACCTTCTCTGATGAAGAAATATGAATGATTAACATACATTTGAAAAAATGCCCATCATCCCTGATCATCAGAGAATTGCAAATCAAAACCACCTTAAGATATCGCCTATACCCAGTGAGAGTAGCCCATGTCACAAAGTTTCAAAGCTGCTGATGCTGGTGTGGATGTGGAAAGAAGGGAACTCTTTTACAGTGCTGGTATGACTGCAAAATAATACAACCTTTTCTGGAAGGAAGTATCCTTAAAGAACTCAAATTAGACATGCCATTTGTTCTACAATCCCATTACTAGGCATCTACCCTGAAGAAAAAAAAATCATTTTATCATAAGGATATCTGCACTAGACTATTTATCACAGCTCAATTTATAATTGCCATAATGTGGAAACAACCTAAATGCCTATCAACCCAGGAATGGATTAACAAGCTGTGGTATATATATACCATGGAATACAATGCAACCATTAAAAAGATGAAGACTTTACATATTTTACATTAACCTAGATGGAGGTGGAATACATTCTTAATAAATCTTCGTGAAAATGGAGAAGCAAGAATCAAATGTACTCAGTTCTAACACGAAGGAGGTAGATGATCTACCTCTATGGAGAGGTAGGGGAAGGAGGGAGGAGGAAGAGAGGAGGTGAGAGTGGGATGAGGGGTCACAAAGTGTGGCAGACCTCATATGGGCAGGACAAAATTATAAGAGGGACTGTACCTCACAAATGCAATCAGTGTAACCTAATTCTTTATATGATCAATGAACCCCCAACAGTAAAAAAAAAAAAGATAATAGAAAACCTACTCAAGGATTATTAGAGTCAATTTAGATTGAAATACTGCTGTCATTCAGGGCAAATTTTCAACCACCTTCTTTTGCTCTCAAGCTTCATAGGAGACATGCAAAATGGAATTGTTTTCCAAAAATAAATACCAAAAGTGACTGGTGAAGACTTACCGTGTTCTAGAGGCATTAACACATTGAATCTAGTGCTCAATAGGATTGGATAAACAATATTTTATAATTGAGATGCCACAGATGTCATAATTACCTCCACAAATAAATTAGGAGTGATTTTAAAGCTCTTCGTGAGGACAGTAAGGGTAAAGGCAGAACAATCCTTGAATCAAATAATACAATGTACTCAGTCCTAATATGAAACTAATTTATAGCTTTCATGAGAAAGCCATAACCCAATTTTAGTCTAAGAATATGGGGAAAGGGTAGAGGGAGGGGAGGGGAAGGGAGAGAATGGGTGGAGGGAGTGTGCTTGGTGGGATCACGTCTATGGTTTATCTTTTAAGGGTATATGTGAATTTTTCTAAATGTAGAATATAAACGTCTTAACACAATAACTAAGAAAATGACATGAAGGCTATGTTAACCAGTTTGATGAAAATATTTCAAATTATATATAAAAACAGCACACTGTACCCCATGACAGTATTAATGTACACAGCTATGATTTAATAAAAATAAAATAAAATCACTCCTAATCACTGATAATGGTAAACAAACAATTAATAAAACAAATAAGCTGGGAGACATCCAAGTGACAATCCACAATTTGGCTCTAAATTGATATGTCCAGGACTGAGTCCTTGATTCTTTTTCCATTCCTCTTAATTGTACTGGTATTTGCTGATATCTCAATTTTGTTTTAGATGCTATTCTATAGCAATTGTCTTGATATATGGTATAAATCATGATTCTGATAGGAAATGAGAATAAAATTATAATAATTATCAAAACACCCCATTTCACTTCTTCTTTAAATTTCCTAGGCAATAATTAAAGGCCTCTCCTATTACCTTGTTAAAAAGATCTAAAGGGACAGCTGAGAATGAAATGTTTCATTCACTCAGAGAATATGAACTACAAGCATAAAGAAATTTGTGTCTTCCAACGAAACAATGGTCCACACGTTTACAGGAAGCTAACAAACTAGATGAGACAAATGGTGATTTGAAGCCCCCCTCACTAGCAAACCCATTGAAAATTAATTGCTGAGTAACTTGCCTCTCTAATAAAAACCCTTATTTCCTTTAAATCTAAACAACCCCATACCACAAGAAGTTGCATTTTTACCTGAGATTTCTTTCTTGTGGGAACAAGAATTCCACATAAATCTAAAAGGTTTAATTTGTTTTGCAGAATCAAGAAAATTGTGGTTTCCTTTAACACTAATATGCACTAAGCAACAATTCAGTAATTAACAAATTACACTTACATATTCTACGTAATTGCATAACAGACTTTGGAATAATCAGAATGTAGGAACTAAGAGGAAAATTTTAATCAATTACCTTTTCCAATTAAAGTTTCACATTGTTTATCAAAACTCCGACAGACTCCCCCATAACAGAAGCTTTCACCTGAATCACAAGTTTCTCCATCACGTACATAAGTGTCAGGCACACATAATGGATGAGACCCATTGCAATAGTCAGTAAAATCACATTGTTCATCAACTGATTGCCTACAAACTGTATTAACTGGTTTCAACTAGGAGGAAAGAGCAGTAGAAGTGATTACATATCAATGATACTTAAATTTTCTTTCTCCTTATGCTCTAAATTTTTCATTCATTTGTCCTGAGTTACTAAGAGGAATAAAAACATTAAGCCTCATTAACTATTTAAGCGTTGCATAGACATTTATATGATTAAATTTGTTGTGCTTAAAACACAAGTAATACTTGTGAAGAAAAAAGCTAACAATCCCAAATTAAGCAGACTACCACAAAACAAAGAGAGAAAGTGAAAGTAAGGAATTAACATAAAAAAAATTTGTAAATTACTAAAGCTGTGATCACTTGTGCAGCTTCTGGTCTCTTCACACATCAACCTTAAAGCAGAAATCAGCACCCCAGTTATAAAATGATAAATCCACATCCTAAACATTTAGAAAACATTGTGTACTTTAAAAGAAGATATTTTAAAGACACACAGGAGAAAGTTTATTTCATGTATCATACTGCAAACAAGTTGAAAAAATAACTTTCACAATCATGTATCTCTGATGTCTTCAGTGCTTATTCTTTATCTGATAGCTTCCAGAGTTCCCTTTCCGCACACCTGCGTTAGCCAAGAAACATCGAACCAAACTCTTCTTTCTTCAACATGTGAACCAGTTTCTCCAGGCTATCATTATTATATGCAAAGTAAATTAAAATTTTTCTAGCTTTCAAAGGTCCTGGAGTCCCAGCTTATTTATTTCCTAGAATAGGTTTTCTCCATGCTTTTGCTTGAATTGTCAACAAGTATTGGCTACAGATAGCAAATCTCACATAAATTCTCTGAGTGTTAGAAAAGATGATGAAACACAGTATTTACTTGTATCATTCAAGTTATGAAGTTAACATTTAACTCAAATTTTCATCAAAATTGTTTCCAAAGAAAAATATGCATGCATATAATGAGAATGTATTAATACTTTTTTCTTCAGAATTTTCTTCCTTTTATAAATTCATATAAATGGAAATATTGTTTTTATTCTAACATTTTTAATAACACAAACAGTTCCTTCAATGCTCTTTGAGCCAAGCTTTATCTTCCAACTGATTCTACTATTAAGAGGAGAAGAAAACCTATTTTTTCATATGTTCTTTGAAAAACAATCATCAATATAGAGTATTAAAAAATTACATCTTCACAGAAATAGAGGTATTAACTTAAATCAAAAAATTGGGTTGCTCACAAAAAGTACACCTCATACACTCACATTATGTTAGGATATCTTTCCTTGGCTCTCTGATTAACTTCTAAATGACTATAAAACTATAACATTGATAATTCTGTTTCTTTTTTTAATTTCTTTTTTATTAAATCGTAATTGTGTACATTAATTCTGTCATAGGATACAGTGTGTTGCTTCCATAAGCAGTTTGGAAAACTCTCATCCAACTGGCTAACATAGCCATCATGTCTTTCTCATAATTGTTGTGTTAAGACATTTATATTCAACCTTTAGACAAATTCACATGTACCCTAATATGATAAATTATAAGCGTGATCCCCACAATATCATTCTCTTCACCCATCCT